AACTTAGTACATAGTTATGATGAGCATGGCTGCCTCCTCAGAAATTGTGAATTTCATGGTCCCAGGGTCAAGGGTTCTGGTGTTAGGGCAGGGCTCTATTGATTATATAGTGAAAATGCATAAATTCTTTCACAATCTTCTTCTTTGCTCCTGGGTATTATTCAAACAAAGGAAGTGCATGGTTATGATAAGGAAGAATGCCTCTTCCAAAATTGTGAAATTCTTGGCCCCTGGGTCAGGGTTCTGGTAGGGGGAGGGCCTATTGATTATATATGATTGTATGTTGTTTTACGTCCCATTCAAGAATTTTTCACTCATATAGAGACGTCACCATATACTGGTGAAGGGCTTCAAATTTTGACCTTTACTCGGCACTCAGGGCCATTGAGCAGTGAGGGATCTTTATCGTGCCAACGCCTGCCGTGACACGGGGCCTCGGTTTTTAAGGTCTCATCCGAAAGACCCGCAACTTTCACTTCAAAGTGCTGAGCGCATGGGGAAGGAACAGTTGCTACCCATTTTTTATCAACTTAGGTCTGTCGCAGCCGAGATTCGAACTCATGACCTCCCGATCACGGAGCGAGCGCTCTACCGACTGAGCTACCGTGAACGGTTTATGGATTATATAGTGAAAATGCAAAATTTCTTTTTTCTACTACTGGTTATAAAGCAAAGAAACAAGTGTATAGTTATGATGAGCAAGAATTGTGAGTTCATGGCCCCTGGGTCAGATGTTCTGGTGTAAGGGTGGGGCTTTATTTATTTAATAATATAGTGAAAATGCATTTCTTTGAAAATCTTCTATGCTTCTGGGTATATTAGAGGCAAACAGAGTAAAAGTTTTAATATGCAAAGGTATTTTTACCAGAATTTTGAACATCTGGACCATTTAGTCAAGTGTTCTGGTCCTGGCCAGGGCTCTATTAACTTGTATTCTGCTGAGCAAAGTTATTCCCCTTTGCCATTCAACTTTGATAATTAATCACTGTAAACAATGTATTTGAAAGGTTAATAGAATACAAGAATTATGCAAGAATATTTATCATATAATACAAAAAGTACTTTCATAGTTATAATGATCAGGTAGACTTGGAAATAATAGATGAATAAAAATGAGACAAATGTTACTTATCTTTTTAAATGTTCTTCAAAGGCCAAGAGAGGCCAATGTGAGAAGTAATAATATGGGGTTAAAAAATAGACATTTTGTTAATAGTCTGCATGGTAATACTGATAAATGGGGGACAGATGGATACTAGACAAATTATTTTGTTAATGCTAATCATACTACTGTTCTTGCTTTTGGGCAACAAAGCTTCATTTATCAGTTTATGGATCCTCTAAATTGTTGTATTGTACTCAGGTGACTGTTAAGGCCCTTGGGCCTCTTGTTTCATGAAGGAACACTGGGGATTTGAGTTGGGCTAAAATCAGAGATCCAAATTTTACATAATGCCTATGTATAGAATCAATAAAAAATTCCACAACAGCAGAGTCATTTTAGTCATACTGATGTATCCCAATTTTGTGTGTATCCAAGTTTGGATAAGTAATAGCCCCCTCAGGACTAGAATTTGGTCTAATCCAGTATGCTAGAGATTCATGCCAAAATACTTTTGACTTTGCATCACATAACCACTTGCATAGTGGAAATAAATTGTGTTTTGAAAAACCAAGCTTTGTCATTTACTAGTGGCATGCAGTAATTAGATATTCATCATTTTCAATAAAACCTTTGCTTAAAACAATGTTAAGCTCTTATAGTAGCGATTAATCCATTATTTTTAAAATCAAAGCAAAAATCAAAACAGATAATCTATTTAAAATTAGAGAATAGAAAGAAGCAAAACGGATAAACAAAATTGGTGTTTCTCTAAGTAATATAAAACATTCATTTTCTGAATAACAATCTGAAAAACATAGTGAAGTCAAATCAAAAGTTGTTTGGGTTAAAATTTGCAATGATGATGATTTTGATAAATTAGCACTGATGCATACTGACTAAAGTCAATTTTACTATTTCTGGTGACTGATATGCCTCATGCCAATAGCTACTTAAGAATGACTTGTTTACAGTTTATTTCACATATATGTTCAGACCAAATCTTAGTCAGAACTAGCAAATTTTTTTAAAAAAATGGCCTTCAGAGGTCTAGAGCCTGAGGTATATAAGGAGCATAGTGATGTAAACCTATATAAGAATCATAGTTATGTTAACCTATATAAGGAGCATAGTGATGTAAATCTATATAAGGAGCATAATTATGTAAACCTATATAAGGAGCATAGTGATGTAAACCTATATAAGGAGCATAGTGATGTAAATCTATATAAGGAGAATAGTGATGTTAAGTTATATAAGGAGCATAGTGATGTAAACCTATATAAGGAGCATAGTTATATAAACCTGTATAAGGAGCATCGTTATGTTAACCTATATAAGGAGCATAGTTATGTAAACCTATATAAGGAGCATAGTTATGTTAATCTATATAAGGAGAATAGTGATGTTAAGTTATATAAGGAGCATAGTGATGTAAACCTATATAAGGAGCATAGTTATATAAACCTGTATAAGGAGCATCGTTATGTTAACCTATATAAGGAGCATAGTTATGTAAACCTATATAAGGAGCATAGTTATGTTAATCTATATAAGGAGCATAGTGATGTAAACCTATATAAGGAGCATAGTGATGTAAACCTTTATAAGGAGCATAGTGATGTAAACCTATATAAGGAGCATAGTTATGTTAACCTGGGCTCTTACTTGTAGGAGTAGGTTTTGGTCCACAATTTGGAGTCAAAATTTTATTAAATTAAAGAGAATTTTTTTAAGGACCAAGGTGACCCAGCTAAGCATTGTGACCTAGGGGCCTCTTCTTAATATTTCCACAGGCATATTTGTTTTTCAAACATTCTTGTTTATTTTAAGTTGAACCATGAAGAAAGTCATTAACATATTGATAGGATGAATTCTTTTCTTTGAGTTATTTACAGTTGTTTTACTTTTTGAAAACAGAATTTAAGTAAAATTTTGATTTCCTTCTTATTTACTACAGGCAGCCAGTAATACTCCAGTTATGCTGAATAAGGCATTGGAGGCCAGAGATCAAGATTTTGGAATCAATGCTACGATTAATTATGAGATTCCAAATTTCACAGGTAAAATTTGGTTTTTGTTAGCTCACCTGAGCCAAATGCTTAAGTGAGCTTTTCTGATCACAGAGTGTCTGTCATCTCTCTGTCTTTTATGTCCAGTCATTTTACAAAAACTTGCCCTATTAAAAATGTACATTTATTGACTAGGTTCCAGGGCAACATACATTTTGTCGGACCCAAGAACCAAACTGTTTGCCTGAGGCCGTTAGTTCAGACATTTTGCCTGAGAACACCGTCAATAAATGTTTTGTTATACCTTTTATTTATTTATTTTATTATTATTTTTTTTGACATACATGTATGTCAAACACCAACGAATGCAAATGAGATTTAGCTGACCCCGCCATTATGTGACGTAAGCAGTCCAACATCTCATCGACAGGTCCAATATCTCACTCCGCGGTCAAAAATCGATTTTTTTTATGCCCTCTAAGTAAAACATTGGAAATGTTAGACTTTTATTAGTATTGATTTATATAGGAACAAATTTTTAAAGGTATAACAATATTTTATGTCGCTTACAAATTTACCATTGTAATAGCTATAAATTTAAAGATTGATTTCAAGACTTAATATACACACATGGTTTTGTAAATATTTACCAATATATACGATTTTGTTTTAAATTTCATGCACAGAATGCAGATTTCAATAAGAAATGAACTTACCTGAAAGTGACCATGGAACCTTATATCATTCATTGTCATTGCGAATCAGCTATTTTAGACCATTACATTTTTGACATAACAAGATCAGTAACACAAAAACTGTTGTCTCTCTTAAAAATTTCACTTCTGTAACGGTTATTCAGGAAAGTTTCTGCATTAAAGATAGAAGTTTTTTTTTTTATTTTGGAAGCGAAATGCTTCATACTTTTGTTTAACATCCTAAAACAAACATTAATTTTAACTATTGCCGAGATTTATAATTTTATTGCTGGAAATTAACTTCCATAACAATATTTACCTGAAATTTTAACTTAATATTGGATTCATGCGAGACTTCATAAAATACTTAAGCATTCTTTACTGAACATCAGAAAATGAAAAAGTGGCCAAATTCAGCTTTATTTAAAAAATAATAAGACTTGATCAAGCATTAACTTCTGTAACATTACCTTTAAATCAATAGTATATTGATATTGTTTTAAAAAGTTAATGTTACCAAATTTGTGAACAATTTTTTTTTCAAGTTCACTGATAAGTCCTTTAGAGAATTATGAAGTTCATTTTGTTATTTGAAACAATTATTTTTTTTCATGTTTTATACCCTGAATTGGTCCTTTTGTCATAGAATAACTATAGTGTGCATCATCTGTAAACTACTCATATTTTCGATCTTCTCGAGAACTGCCTGGCCAAATTCAACCAAATTCGCCACAAAGCATCCTTGAATGAAGGAAATTCAAGTTAATTCAAATTGAAGAGCCACACCCTTTTTTCAAGGGGAGATAAGTACGAAATATTGAGAAGAGACATTTCACATTTGGTAGGTATTTCGCCTACTCCAGGTAGTGATTTCTAAAATCTAATTTTTTACCAATATTTTCTTAAACAATCTTATTTTGGAAATTTGCAAGCTCAAACGACACAATAATGATATTTAAATGTCAATAGTTCCTTTATATGATAAATATGAAAATCACCAAGTTTGTATTGAGTATATAGAAAATACTGAGGTATCTACCTAAACTGTTGCCAAAGACCAGTGTTAACCAGAAATTGACTTAAATCAAAAGAGGAAGCCTTTTAATATGAATATAATGAAGTGCATTGAAGTATAATTTTCCATTTGACTGAAACTTATTGAGCATTCTTTTGGACAGTGGTTGTTACATAATGCCACACCAATTTCTTCACAAAGGAGAAAACAGTGTATTGTGGGGGCAAAGGGAGAGTAAACACCAGTTTGCACTGAAAGAAAGCCCTCGATTGTCTCGCATGTTTTATTCAAATATCTGTGAAACAGGTATTCTATAAATGTATATAAATATTCTATAAATACAATAGCCTATCAAAATGGCAGTGTACATAAACATCAGATAAACATGTTTGATCGATACAGGTGTTCTGATAACTTAATAGACATCATTTATACATACTGGGTACATGTAATTATATGTACATATTCATTGCAAAACATGAGTTTTACAGAGACTCCCAACTTCTCCCAACTTCATAATATCCCCATTTTAGCAAAACTCATGTTGCTAGTCTCAGAGCATGGGGCGTCTTAAAACATTGTGACGAATATTACTTTCTCTATTTAAAGAAATAGGCGTGTTATTATGTAAGGATTGATGTTCGATAAGAAAGACCCAAATGTTCCATTCAAGCGAAAAATCTCACCACTTCAGTGTGCAGCATTGTATAAAAAATAATAAAAGTCCCGGAGGTGATGGATTTAGTCAAATTTTTCTGGAAAGATTAAGAATTTTTCTGATCCGATCTCTTAATTTTGGAATTTTGTCTGGTGAATTATCTTTAACTCAGAAACAAGGTATTATTTCTCTTTCCCCCAAGGGTGATAAGCCAAGATCAATTACATGTGTGCCTCTTGTGTATTCGATATAACTGCTATGGAAACTAGGAGTTAACAGTATTAGGTCAAAATTTTTAAAAGATTTTGTTAATTTTATATTCTCAAATATCTAAAATTCTGTTGATGGTTAAATCATATGTCCAGGCACTGTCAGGGTACATATTTTATAGAGAAATAATAGTGAATACATGTTTTACATTCTCATCTATTGTGTTAACAATGAAAGGCAGATCGATGCACATGAATTGGTTTACAATCTGCCTTCATGAAATCAATACTGTCTTGTGTTTGTATTTTGACTAAAATTTTTTTGAATCGACAAACCAATGGCTGAATGGAATGTACCAAAATGTGTACCAATGAAGATATACAAAAAATGGTTTTGATAAACATGTAATTATGAGATAGAGAGTAAATAAAAGTTCATGTTTACTTTTACAGACAGTTTTTTCCAAATTAATGCAAGTAATGGAAACATTTCTCTGAGAGATGGTCACAGTCTGGACAGGGAAAATCTGAGTGTCATCACATTAGTTGTCAGGGTAAGATACCTATTTTTTGTGAATCCATATATGCTTAGTGGTCACAAATATTTATGTCTTTTAAGTTGAAAGTTACAGTCATTGGACATAAGTATTCCTCACTGATCTCAAAATACTCAAATGGTCGTAAAGGTTGTCACAGCTATTTTTGATCGTGCCATTGAAAGAGAACATATCAGGTTCGGAAATTTGGCCAGAATAAATGTCACAAATTTCTGGGGAACTTTATATAACCGAAATGAATATTTCAAAAATTAGTAGATTGTTTGGAATATCAAGGACAACTGTATACATTATTATGAAAAAAAAACTGAAGATCTCGACATGTAGAAAACAGGGATCAATCTGGAAGAAAACCATGAGTAAACAAATACCAACTTTCCAAACTGCATAGTGAAAATAGCAGCAGGGAATCTTTAGATAAATTTATCAATGCTAAATAATTAAGAAAAGAATTATTTTTTATTTTCTTAAACTGTAAAAAAAAATTGATATGACATATAATGGACGGTAACAAGAGATGGTTGTCCATAAGTGATGCCACAGAAGAACATGCATACCATGGAGTAAGGAATGAAAGAATTGGACTTGCATCATCAATAGAAATCAAAGTACTCAGAAGTACAGAAAGCTGGGCTCATTTACAGAGAAGTGAACAAAGACCATTTTACATGAAACATATATTTTAATAACAGATGAATAACACTGGAAGAATGTGTAACACAAAAAATATATATTAATGGCATATAGTATGAATAACTAAAAATATGTCCATAGGACGTGAGTGCCCCGCCGAGGGTATATTAGTAATGCAACATGAAAATTTGTATTAGTTTATGAAATTTGATGAGAATATCTTGAAAAGTTTCTTTAAAATTGAAATTGAAATCTAAAGAATTGGATGTAGATGATAAATTCTCACCAAATTATGATAAGTGCATTAGCCTACATAAAACATCTTAAATGGTTTCTTTAAAACTAAGCAAAAATGCAAATTGAAGAAAAGTGAAGTAAAGGTCACAGGAAAGTTCAAGGTCAAAAGTTTTTAATGCAGTTGAATAGCTCTCACTAATATATATCAGCATATGAAGTTTGATAAAAATATCTTGAATGGTTTCTTTAAAACTGAGCTAAACACTAATTTAGGAAAAGTGAGGTCAAAGGAAAGGTCAAGGTCAGAAATGTTGATGAAGTTAAAAAGTTAACATCAGTATGTGTCAGCATATGAAGTTTGATTACACTATCTTGAACAATTTTTTTAAAACTGAGCTAAACACTAATTTAAGAAAAATGAGGTCAAAGTCAAAGGAAAGGTCAAGGTCAGAAATGTTGATGATTTGTTTGTTTGTATGTTGTTTAACGTCCCTCTTGAGAATTTTTCACTCATATGGAGACGCCACCACTTGCCGGTGGAGAGTTGCAAATATTGTCCTATACTCAGCACTTACGGCCATTGAGCGGTGAGGGATCTTTGTCGTGCCAGCACCTACTGTGACATGGGACCTCGGTTTATACGGTATCATACGAAGGGCCAGTCTCCACATCCCACAGTGGGATTCAAACCCGCGACATAAGGATCAACTCCTTACTTCGCGACTCTAGAGCAGATGCTCTAACCACTGTGCCACGCGGGCGACGAAATGTTGATGAAGTTAAAAAGCCAACATAAGTATTTATCAGCATATGAAGTTTGATTACACTATCTTGAATGATTTCTTTAAAACTGAGCTAAACACTAATTTAAGAAAAGTGAGGTCAAAGGAAAGGTCATGGTCAAAAAATGTTGATGAAGTTAAAAAGTTAACTTCAGTATGTACCAGTATATGAAGTTTGATTACACTATCTTGTATGGTTTATTTAAAACTGAGCTAAACATTTACTTAAGAAAAGTTAGGTCAAGGTCAAAGGAAAGGTCAAAGTCAAAAAAATGTTGTGCAGTTGAATAGCTCTCATCAATATGTATCAGCATAGGAAGTTTGATAAAAACATCTTGAATAGTTTCTTTGAAATTGAGCTTTGAACTAAGCTGAATGCAATTCGCGACGGAAGGACAGACGGAAGGACGGAAGTCGGACATGACAAACACTATATGCCCCGGCCATGTTCATGGCAGGGCATAAAATTTTTTTTTGAAAATTGAATTGAATAAACATTAATGCAGCAAGGTTAAACATTTATGCACAGACTCCCCCCAGCGGGGAGTTTTGCATAAAGGTGTACATCGGGTCACATGCTCCCCACATTAGTTTTAGCTTGGTAACACAACCTTTATTTATAGAATCAGGGAGACCTGATAAAAAACTTTCGCATATTTTAAACAAATAATTAAGCAGAGAATTTCTTGGTAAGAACTTAAATTTGTTTAATTTAGTGTTTGTATTGTCTCAAAGCAATGAGCCCCACTAAAAAAAACTAGGTATTTATTGTATGCCAGCTGATTAATGGAAATAATGAACAATTGTACATTTTGCTAAAGGCCAACAAAGTTGCATCATCGGATACCCACAGGTGATCTCGTCTTTTACTCATCACTCATGGGCAAATTCGCCAAAATATCGTAAAATATGCTAATTTGTTGATTATAGATAACCAATCAGAAAATTGGAACTCTTCAATTTGGAAAATATGTTTATTAGTTTGCTATTTACAATTAATATCAAAAGGTGCAAATTTTGTTTTAAAACAATTGAAAACAAATCGTACAGGTCACTTACATCAAATACCAGCAAGAAATTATATGGGAGTACCTTCCTCAAACTGCGAAATTCACCAGAGAGTGGATTTATTTGCAATCCATGTGTTAACTACAGAAAAGTTTTTGTCATTGCCGAACATTCATACGTGACATAAACTTTAATTTGCTGATTTGCCATTGTGACTCTGTGGAGCAGCCAATCAAATGACCCACGAATATTAATTACTTACAATGATTTTCCTGTGAGTTTGCCCACTGGCACAGGTGATGAGTAAAAGACGAGATCACCCATGGGTATCAGACGATGACAAAGTTGAAACCTCCATCTCATGTATGTGCAATTGAGGACCTAACTATCTGTATGATCTGGGGTTGTACATGTATATGTTACAAAGTTTTAGGAACTTTTATCTATGTAAACTGAAATATTTACATTTGCTATGTTTTTCTACTAAGCCAACTGTGAAATTGGTTTGAATGTCATTTTTGTGTATACTCACGCGTAGAAATATGCACGGAGAAACTCGCGCTAAAGTGACGTCACAATGAACTACAGAGATGTTAATAAAAATATGACGATATAGGACAGCGAGAAATTCAAACATTGAGTATATTTTTGGTGCTTTTGAACATGTAAAATGTAAATATAAGGAATGTTTTTCATTTTAGTGTGAATTATTGGTGTGTAAATCACACAGACTTGCACGTAGGCATATTTTTCATGAAGCGCTAGCAATTCAGTTTCTAGACATAAATATTATAGAAATTATTTGGTTATAATTAAAAAGAAATCTTCAAAAATACCGTTTCAATTTGTCAACGGCTTTATTTAACAATTCCACCAAGGCTATGAGAAGAAATAAGAATGGTCATCTTTCAAAATATTAAGGTGTGACAGTAGGTATTTAATTCAGGAAGACAATTTTTGATGAGTAGCTAATGTAAAAAAAAAATTGGTTCCATTTTGACATCAGTGACAAATATTTATGTCCAATGACTGTAACTATAAACTATTATTCACATCAACTTTTGTATGTGATTTGTCAGTTTAATTTTCAGACTAATTTGTCAGACTAATTTTTATGACTGAGGAAATATTCTACAAAAATACACAATGAAATAAATAGTTTGTGGCAGGAAATATTTGTGAGTAAAACAAAGTCACAAAACTGATGGATATTTCTTACAGGCAGATAAAAGTTGGTGTACAGTATTGTGTTTGTTTAGACAAATCATGATTTATCTAAGTTTATATAAGAAATAATTAGCAAATTCTTATGGTTTTGAGAGTAAATTCTATACAATGGAGCATATGGTAATTTGCGTAAAAATATAAGCCATAAATGTTTCCTATGCATATATTGCCCCCCTCCCCCCCCCCCCCCCCCCAAAAAAAAAAAGATCTTGACAGTTATTTCTTAATACTTCTATACTAGGGAATGAGTAAGAATACATGTGACTTTAAATAGTGTGTAAATGATTGTAAAATTATACACTCAGAACTGAAGGGTTTATTACTGTTTTATCATCAGCATAAAGCATGTAAATATTTTGCAACACACTCAACACTAAGTTTTAAGTTGGCATCCAGTTCATCACTAGTGGAACATGTATATATATCAACAGCTAAATTTTATAGTGAATTATTTAAGAACATATAATTCCAATCTTACTTTTATTCATTGATTTCCTGTGTTTTGATTGGACGAGAACAAATTCAAGAAAAAGTTTACACATCCATAAATTCTCAATCAGAACTACTTTCTTGACCTATCTTTTATTGTAAAAAAAAAAAAATGAAACAAATCGTTACTTCTATTCTGTGTTTTAGCTAAACAATTACAGAAACTTGAAATTAAATAAAAAACAAAACTGACGACATACAGGACTGACAGACGGGAATATTATGTTTATGTCACTGTCAGATCACGAGGGTGAATTTTAAATCTCTGAAGTCATATGCTCGACGTTCCTAATAGGCCTAATGGAAGTAAAAACAAATCAGCTCAGTTATCAGTAGCGCTGTAATAGGAAAGAGAAACATACCCTAGACTCTTGCCTTATTAGCATCAAATTCATTTTTCTACATCCTATATTCTGTCCTGTCCTTGAACAAACCAGAGCAAATCAAGGTTGTCGTCGGTCTGCTACTTTCATTTTAGAGTGTCTATCTGTATATTGTCAACATGGTCAAGGACGAATTCTTTTGAAGTCTACTTGTATTTACAATATTTGTTGACTTCAATATTCGAAGAGTTTTTATAAGCTTATTTTATTAAATGTTTTGACAATTAAAGTTGAACTTTATCGACGTTCATTTCCATTGCAATTCATTTCCACATCGCAGCATAAAGTATTCCTACGCTGTATAGAAATAACAGATTGTATGGAGGCTTCAAAGAGAAATAATTTTAAAACTGCGTAATTGGAATCATAAGAAATAAACGTTTTTTTTTCAGAATTTATCAATGTGTAAACTCATGCCTTTGTACTCACAAACTTTACATAAAAGTGCTTTGCACTTTTATTCAGTTTGTGAGTACAAATGCATGAGTTTACACATCGATAAATTCTGAAAAAATAAACGTTTAATCCTATAATGAAGTAATGTGTATTTAAGATATGCAAACAATTAAATGTAATTTGAACGTTCATTCAATAGGCCTTTCATTTAATTTCTAGGCATACCAGGTGGATAAGCCTGAATTTCGTCGTGATGTTACTACTGTACAGATCAACGTTACTGATGTCAATGATAATCCCCCAGTCATGTCTCAGACGAGCTATACTGCCTCCATTCCAGAAAACATGAAGAATGGGCAGGTTGTCACATGGGTAAAAGCCACAGATGCTGACGAGGTAATTTAAGTGTCTCCTGTACTTCATAAAGTTCAGTAATCAGTGAGTTCTAATGCAGAAAGCATTGATTGCTTTCATTTTTTTTTAAGTGCGAATGCAATTTTCATTTTAATGGAGTCAAAGAAATGATGATCTTGATTATAACTCCTGGGCACCTGAGTCACTCAGTTAAACTGTTGCTATCTGTTTTTTGTCATATGTTAACATCTGAGCATTTTCAGCTTCTTCTCTGAAACCACTGAACCAATTTCAACCAAGTTTTGCATAGGGCATCTATGAGTAAAGGAGAACAAAAATTATGAATTTCATGGTCCATGCCTCCCTGGGACATAAGGTATGGGGCTAAAACGACAAAAAATCTTGTATCTTTAAATTATTATTTTTTTTTACTTTTTTTTTTTTTACTAATTGTGATTTTAACCCCTGGCCATGAGTCCAGGTTTCAGGAGTTAAGGGAGGAATGTATTGATCATATAGTAAAAATAATGCATAAATTCCTCAAAAAATCTTCTTTTCTACCCCTGTAATTAGCTAACATAAATTAACTCATTTCAAATTTGGGACTTCACTTGGTTCTTATGATCTGTATTATTTGTCATTATTATGCTTCCTGTCAGCTTGTCTCTATATAATCAATACCCAACTATTTTTGCATAGTGTTCTAAGGATTTATATAGCATAAGCATACTATGCCGAAATAGTGCACAGCTTCTTTTTCTGAAGAAAATCCGACAGCGCCCACGCCGGGGATTGAACTCACAACCCCGAGATTGTCAGTTTGATGCGCTACCGATTACACCACAGACGCTGTTATCTAAACCACTGTATTATAATATATATAAAATTAGTTTCAAATATTTTACACCTAAAGAAAATAAATAAACAAAATAATTTTTCTAAAATAGTTTCTTGCAATTTTTTTCCCTTCATGCAACTAAAATTCTCTGAAACTATCTGTACATTATACCTAATGCATAAAACATTCAAAATTAAAGAAAAAAGATTATGATGTACATGTAGCACAACGTGATGTCATAATAGGGGTGTACTAACATGAATTTAAGAGATGATGAAACATTGGAAATGCAGAAAATATTGTCGTTTTTATGCAACAGTCAGCATAATAATAACAATAGTGTTTTACTTTGCATGCACTATGCCTAAATAGTAGTCAGGGTTTGACACATAGTGGACTGGCCTCCAGCTCGTGCACCATGTGTCAAACCCTGACTACTATTTAGGCATAGTGCATGCAAAGTAAAACACTATTATATAAATATAGTAAAATAGTGCATAAAGTTCAAAAAATGTTTGAAAATTAATGGTACAAATACTGTTGATCACTTTAATTTTGTGACACCTTATTTTTGTGAGATAGTCATTTAATCTTTATTAACAAGACAAAATTTTCTCGAATTGTGATTATTGCTCTATATAATCATAAGGAATACTAATATACGTGAGAATGAAATTTTGGCAAGCTCACTGTCTTGTGTAATTACTCGAAAATAAAGTTCTCGCGAAGAAAGAGTGATTTACAGTACTTCTGGGGTTTTTTTTACTCATGATCAGTACAATTATTATGTTTATATACTTTTTTTAAATCCCCTCTCCCCCTTTATTATGAAGTAGAGGGGCTGAACCTGTTTTTATGAAGGTATAGATTAATGATTAATATATACATTTGTGGTATCTCTCTATTATATAAGCATACAGAGAGCAAATTTCTTCATACCTGTATGAAGTTTATCGAAGGTCATAGGTCATTATGTGACCTAATTACATAGCGCAGTAATATCTACATAAAAATGCTTACTCTACTTAGCAATATAGCATGCTTTTCATGTATAAAAATGTACAAAATACACAAGTAAAATAATAATCATTTTTATTTCCATTGTAAACGAGTACAGTTCTTGATCAATTTTACAAAGAGAATAGAAAACTACATGTTGTAAGTTTCATTCTGAGCTCCATATAGTCTCAATGTTTACCCTCATTTTTCTTGTAGACCTCTGAATGCTATAATTTTTTTTCATTAAACTTTACTCACAATAAATTTGAAAATATCAATGTAATGCAATCACACCACAAACAGCTGACAAACACTTCGGAAGTTCAGTAGGCACAGGTCCATTATCGAGATCGTTTTCTTAACAATGTAAGCTATTGCCAGTGTCTCCGTGTCAACATCATAATAAATATGCCTTACTAAATTCGTAGATTGCATGTTTCTGATCAAATTTTATACTTGATTTCAAGTGAACTGGTCTGTACAAGTGTCTCCATCCATCCCTTTCCAACCGATATTCCTCCAACTTTTTATTATCAAACATCGGATGTGTTTCTTGTGTTTTTAACATTGAATATGGGTTCTCATGCAGGAATACAAAAATTCCCAGACACCAATATGCTCACTGTAATTGATCACAAGTAGCCTGTCACAGAATATTCCCTTCAAAACAGAATCGTTTGCCAGATGAATTTGAAGCATAACTGCTTTTCAAGCCAATTTACACCTTGCGTAATTTGTCAAAATCTATGACGAACAGTTAGTGCTATATTTATATTCGATTGTCCATCTCAAATGTATATATAAGTAATAAATAACAAGTTTAAAAACTTCACTGGGAAATGAAGTGGGTCGGTACGTGATCAGATCTTCTGAGAAGGCCTTCGGCCTTCACAGAATTTGATCACGTGACTGACCCACTTCATTTCCCAGTGAAGTTTCTAAACTTGTTATTTATTTCTTAAATGGTTGAGCAATATTTTTATTGATAATCATCAAACTTCATACACAGATAGTGGGAGACAAATTTTGTATTAGAATAGACAGGGTGTCAGAATATGTAGTGCAAAGAAGATAGAAAACCAGTAAAACAAGGTTGGATTTCACAGTGAAATGGATTGCATAGGTGTCAGATTAGGGAGTTTTTACTGTATATCTACAGTACATCAAATGTTTGGGAACTCTTTGTTTAATAGTCATCATATGCAATGATTGGCTATGACATCTTTTTATTTAAAAAAGTTTAAGAAATGTTAAAAGTTTTTTTTTTAATTCCTATTTTTATCTTTACTGGTCAGAGACCAGAAGAGCTTGTGTGATAGTAAAAGTGTCCGTCATCAGTCTGTCTAGCTGTCCATCTGTCTGTCTGAAAACAATTTTTCAAAATGCTACTCCTCCTACAGTTTTGGTCTGATTTCAATATAACTTGGCACTCAAGTAGACTATACTAAGATACATACTTCTGTTTATCAGTTTTTGATTTCAATGAATCGTGTTGTCGTGGTAACTAAAAATAGACTGAAATTTCTTTGAAATACTTTCAAAATGCTACTCCTCCTACAGTTTTGGTTTGATATCAATATTACTTGGCACACAAGTTAACTACTTTAAGATACATAATTCTTTTTATTGGTTTTTGTTTTCCATGAACGGTGTTGCCGTGTTTACTTAAAATATAAATTTCTTTGAAATACTTTCAAAATGCTACTCCTTCAACAGTTTTGGTCTAATTTCATTGTAACTTGGCACACAAATAGATTACACTAAGATACATAATTCTCTTTATATTGGTTTTTGATTTTGATGAAAGGTGTTGCCATGGTTACAAAAAACAGAAATTTCTTTGAAATACTTTCAAAATGCTACTCCTCCAACAATGTTGGTCTAATTTCAATATAACTTGACATAGAAGTAGACTACACTAAGGAACATAATTCTTTTTATTGATTTTTGATTTTGATGAATGGTGTTGCCATGGTAACTAAAAATAGAAATTTCTGTAAAAGTCTTTTAAAAGTCTACTCCTTCTACAGTTTTGTCTGATTGCAATCTTTCCATGAAAAGTGACTAAATCAAGGATCATTGTTCTATTTATTGCTGTTGCAAAATCTCAAGTCCAGCTGCTACCTTTTCTCTTCCTTTGTTATAATACAAACCAGTAGAGCTACAGTCTCGACAGAGACCTCTGGTTTTCCTTTCAGTTTATGCCATTAAAAATAAAATCTCGAGTTTTTTTTATGCCCCCGGATCGAAAGATCCTGGGGATATATTGTTTTTGTCCTGTCTGTCTGTCTGTTTGTCTGTTTATCTGTTTGTCTGTTTGTCTGTCTGTCTGTTGTCAACTTTAACCTTGCCCATAACTTTTGATTGGTTGGAGCTATGACTTTCATATTTCACATGTGTATTCCTTGTGGCAAGACCTTTCTTTGGGTACCATCATATTTGACCTTTTGACCTTGACCTTGGAGTTTGACCCACTTTTGCAAAATTTTATGAGACTTTAACCTTGGCCATAACTTCTGAACAGTTGGAGCTTGGGGTTTCAAACTTCAAATGTGTATTATTTGTGACAAGGCCTTCCTTTGGATACCAACAACTTTGACCTTTTGACCTTGACCTTGGAGTTTGACCTACTTTTAAAAAACTTTAACCTTGACCATAATTTTTGAATGGTTGGTGCTAGGGCTTTCATACTTCACATACTTAGTCCTTGTGACAAGACCTCCCTTTGGATATCAACCACTTTGACCCTTTGACATTGACATAGGAGTTTGACCTACTTTCGAAAAACTTTAATCTTGGCCATAACTTTTGAATAGTTGGTGCTAGGGCTTTCATACTTTACATATGTAATCCTTTTGACAAGACCTTCCTTTGGATACCAACAACTTTGACCTTGACCTTGATGTTTTACTTACTTTTAAATAACTTTAACCTTCGCCATAACTCTTGAACAGTTGCACCAAGGGCTTTCATATTTAACATTTTTTATCTTTTGGCCTGGATTTTGAATTGCATTTGAGAAACTTTAACCTTCGCCATAAGCTGCCATACGGGGGCATCAGTGTTTCACAAACACATCTTGTTAATCTGTGTTTTCAAATTTTGAGCTTTAAAATAAAAAAAAAATCATGGTCACTATTGAACCTTATATATATTCCATTCTAACCCATAGGGACCAAATGCTGAGTTTGTTTATATATTGGAGAATTGCAACAAATCTTTTGAAATTAACCAAACTGGAAGTATTATTGTAAAAGACAGTACACAGCTGGATATGGAGGAAAATCAGCAATTTACCTGTACAGTAAGTAGGCCCTGTCCCTCTGGACAAAGAAAAGATTGAATAATGATCTTATAAACCCTTTTCTTTTCATCATTTTCAGTTTATGAAGTTGGCAGCTCTTATAGGGTTTATTATTGGGGTTAGGCTGTAGTGCAAGATGTTTTTGTTTTTATGACTGTCTTTGTTTTGGGGAAATTTCTGTAATAATTCTTAGTGGGTTGCTTTGATAACAAAGGAGCAGTTAGGCCTCCTCTTGTACACTTAAAATTGATTGTTTTAATCTAGGTTTATGCAAAAGAAAGCCAAACAGCAGAGAATAAAAGCAGTAACAGATCTTCTTTGACAATAAGCCTGACTGATGTCAATGACAACAACCCAGAGTTCCACAACAAAAGCTACAGTTTTAATGTTACAAGGAACCCATCTAAAAATACAATCATTGGACAGGTGGGGAATTTCAGATTCAAAGTTTGGAATAACATTTTTAATGAGAATAGTTCTGAAACATGGAGGCGATTTCTAATCCAATTATATCAGGATTAAATGAATATCTTATAAGGAACAAGTATTTATTTAAGGACGTACAACACACCCACCACCGAAAAATTCCTGTCGTTTAATTTTAGCTATTTTTGTATATTGTATACATGACTATATATACAATTTGTATGCACATTTTGGACAAAATCGTTCGAGTCGTATTTGGACAGGAAGTTCCAAAAGTTACCCTCCTTTGGTTGTTCACACGGAGAATAAATTTTCAATCGGCTAGCTATAAAATCCTTGATTTTCAAAAAAGTTCCGCAAGTCTGGCTGTCAAGATTTCATCGACTCATTCATTTCGCCATTAACCACACAAATAAAGTGTTTTTGTAGAGGTACACATCGCCAAAATATTTTTTTAAGGACTTAAACTGAAAAACGATGGTTCATTTAAGCCTTGAAAAATGCGTATTTTTCAAATTTAATATTTTTTTTACGAAAAAACTTATTGTTTAATTTTGGAAAAAATACTTTTTTCATGTAATTGATTACAAAAGTAATCTTTATAATTTTTTGTAATTTTTTTAAACGAGCCGTTTAGAATTTATAGCGAAAAATCACCCCCCCCCCTTTTCTCCTTAAGTCACGTTTCTCAAGCGCCTTTCAGACTTGGGACGAAAACATTATTAGATCTACAAATACACATGAAAAATTCCGAGCTAGAAAATATCTTTTACTTTAAAAAATTATTTACATTATATGTATCAAAGTTCTTAAAACTTTTCAGTTCATTGAAATGCAGATGTATAGGCAATTTTTGACGAAGCCCCCCCCCCCTTTATTTTAGACGCAGTCATTAGAGCTTCATGAAACATAGGTTACCCTCAAGATATATATTTAATCTACTTAATTCATTCATGCAGATTTATATTCTGACAACTAGAATAAGAGTTAAACCATCAACTACTAGAATACAAGTAAAACTTATTCTCTAAGGATTTTATGTCCACGTGTCCAATATGTAGTCCATACATATGGCTGACATTCATTTAATTTTATATTATACCTGCGTATGAATTCAACTTACATTGAATTTTAATCTTATTTTCATTAAAAATGAACGCACAATGTTGAAAATACAACTCTTCGATTATGTAAACAGGCTGGTAAATGGAATATATTGTTTCTTATTTATTTCAAACAAGAGAGGGGTCTAAAAGTACCCCCCCCCCCTTGTATGATCCTACTGTTGCTTCTACAGATAAAATGGAAATTTCGTATTCATATACATTAACTTCAATTTATCAAACTGTAAATTCTCCATGTTTTAATTATTCATGTGTCAAAATATTCATGTACAGTGATACATGCATAAAACGTTTTGTTTTGATTCGAGGAAATGCGCACTGAATTTGTTGACAGTGGTATATCTAGATGGGCGGATAGGGCCAGTTTGTCGCATATAAGATATTCGTGAACTCGGGCCATTTCAGTACACAATTCTGTTACATTTTCGGCACTTACTTAGTATATATTATAGTTTTCAGTTCCTGAGTTCATCAGAATTCATTGTGTCTTCATAACTGTTCGACAAACAGGAGGAAATAACCCAACTAGGAGAGGGGGAAAATCTCCCACATTTTTAGAGTTGTTCCTCTTTGATCAGTGAACTTTTGGAAACGGGTTGTAAAACTTTTTTTTCTTAAAAGGAGAACAAAAACAGTATTTATATGGCTAATTCTTAATTTGAAGATAGGCCCATGATCTGGTAATGCGAATGTTACATAGCCAACTGTAACAAAAGAAAGCAATGTATCATGAAAAGATAAAGAATATTGTTGTGCTAATATTGATCATGGATACGAGTTTCGTGTAAAATTAAAGAAATTTAAGATATGATCTTTCTTTTCTTCCTTTTTTTATGGAGGAGGGGCGGGTTTTAAATCAAACGCACAAATAATCAAGGATACGATTTGGTATTTCTAAAGAAACCACATCAAGCCCCTAATCCCAATTTTCTTATAATTATGTCGGGATCGATTCGGTCGTCATTTTGACGCTTTATTATAAACGTCAAATTTGACGTCAAATTAAACGTTTAATTGAAATCGCAAGAGTTATCTCCCCCAGTGTGTTGTACGTCTTTAAATTCAGCTGCTGTGGAATATTTCATTGAACTGAATAGGTGACCAACTTAGCAGAGATTAGTTACTTTTTTTTACTTTCAGGTGAAAGCAGAAGATGGTGATGTCTCAAAGCCTACAAATGGATATGTAACCTATGAATTAAGTGGCCAAAAAGAAAAATTTTTTCAGATTAATAATAAAACTGGAGAACTACATCCTATAAGTAATCCTCTGTATGGTTGTGATGTATCCAAACTCCCCAAATCTGTAGAGTCATATGTGACAGCATCAGACAATCCCAAAGACTCGACCACTAAAAGGTAGGTAACCAGTTCTGTTGGAGCTAGAGCTGTCACATTGTTATATAGATAATGCACATAGATCAGCTGAAGTAATGTATTACCTACAATATATGCAGATATTTTTTTTTTTGCCCCACCATGAATATGGGGCATTGGCATGTTGTGTTTATCCTGTGCATGTTTCTGTCTGTTACACTTTGCATTTAGCTCAATTTCAGGATATTTTTGATTGCATTACAGAAGTGGTGTTATCCTGCTTTGATAAGTTCATAATTATAATTTGTTACTCTTTAGATCATCTCTGTTGAAATATCTGATTTTTTGACTACATCTAAAGAGAATAAGGGCAAAATGTGAAAAGTAACTTGGGGTTTAAAAAAAACTCCAAGTATGCAACAGTCATATCTAGAAATTTTTTTTCCCCCATGTAAATTCCTAAAAGTCTAAATTGAAAATCTAGTTCTTTATAATTCCATTGTTCTTTGTTGAGCAAAATTGCCATGCAACAATTTTTAGGACCATCATCAAAATGAACATTGATTAACATAAATCAAACTTGATTTACTCAGTAAATTTCCTATGAATTAAAACTGTTTTATAAATTAAAACTAGTTTGGTTGATTACATGAAGTGTTTTACATCCAGGACTACAACAGTGAGAGTGTCAGTCAATATACAGACAAATCTCTGTTCTCCTGTCCTTTCCATCTTGGAGAATGTTTCCCGTCATTCAGTACCAGAGGACATACTACCAGGAACCCCACTGGTCACCATTCAGGTAGATACAAAGCTAATTTGACATATCCAAGGTGTATGAGGTTACATGAATTCAGAATAATAGAGGTAAAAATATAGTTTTGAAGTTGTGGACATCTCACAAATTGAGATAATGAGCTTTTATTTTATCATTTTGCCTTAAATAAATTATTCATCAGAATTGTATCTGATATAAAATGTTTTGTTTTTTTTTTTGTTTATTCAGTTTCTTTAAACAAATCCATTTTCTCACTATTTTCATGAAGGTTTTTGATGCAGACCCAAATGACTCACCCCCTTACTTATGCATTAATGGTGATCAGGAACCCTTTCAACTCAGAAAAACCAGGTATGCTCTAAAGATGCGTAGACAAAGTCTGTGGAAGGAGTTTTTAAATTTTTTAGTCATCATAGAATTATAATCACACACACACACACACAAAAGGAAGATAATCAAATGCTGCAGAAGTTAATGGGACTTGGCTAACAGAATACAGTGGTTCCCGTTTTATCGAATAGTCAAGTTGTCAGCCTTGTTTTATCCGAATAGCCGAAAATTAGAATAGCCGATTGCTTCATACTGAGTCCAAAGATAGATGCATAGAGCTACATGTATTGATAATACATCGTAGCAAATTTCCAGCTTGCACATTCGTTTTCTTTTGACATGTTTACTTAACGACTTTACTAAAAATAATTTATTTTACTTACTTATGAATTTAATATGAAATTTTTTTTCAAATAAATTGACGTATAGAATATATTCTTTGATAGTTATTGCCATCTTTCTTCAGCACATGTTTACATTCCTTCTTCGATGGTCGCCATTTTGGAAACGGAAGTAGACTAAATGCTTGACTAATAACCGTAAACTATTTTTCCCTGGATAGATTGTAAATTAAAAATAAACAAAAATATTAAATATATGTAATTGTTTCGTTTTTATTTGTTTCTTTAATACGGTTGCGTATTTTATACTGTGTGTGAGTTTACCAGTCTCGTTCTTGTCTGCTGAAGAGAGATTTTGAGAGCCATGTGGAGAAAGATGGTATGAATTTTGAGACGTATTTTTATAGAACGGGCCATTTATTATTTTTACCATAAATTTTGCACTGAAAAGTGAATAAATATTAAGCCAATTGACCAAGTTAAACGATTGAATAGGCTTATTTCATTATCCAAGTAAATTGTCATACACAAGCTAATCAGTTTAATAAATAAATTTCACGCCGAAAAAATTGCAGATAATTGTCATAATTAACAAGTGCATCATTGAACCCAAGCTGATCACCACAACTGTAATCAAAACATATCTATTTACTATGCCCACTATTGACACAGGTAAGGTGCCTGTGTGCGTCCAGCCGTAACTAATCCCCTCATTGTCGTACTCAAGCCAGTCAAGGTAATTGGTGTCAAACTGTGTAAACAAAGGCTTCACATACGAAGTTGGAGGTGTGAACAAGGTGCTGATTATCAAAAAACACTATGATAGTCTAAATTTTTGTATCGGATAAAACGAAATTCCAATATTTTCTCATCAGAATATCAGGTGAAATTATTAATAAATATATAAGAAATGGTTTTGTGCTCTGATATTATATTGAAATAGCCGAAATATTCGTTAAACCGCTATCCGATAAAATGGAAGCCACTGTACTATTTTGGAAGTCATATTTAAATGAATGTGATTTTGTGGGTCAAAACAGGACATAAATAGTGTGTGAGGGTGACGGAATATTTTTGCAAATGTAACCTGCTGGTTGTGGATCAGGTAGAAACACTAAATTTGCTTTTCACAGACATGAATTTTTTCTTAGTTATTTTTTGTCTTACAGTAAAAACAACATGGTTCAGTTGTCAGTGAACAGAAAACTTGACAGAGAGGAAAAAGATCTTTACATCATTAAAGTGGAAGCAAATGATACAAAACATGTAAGTATCCTTTACAGAACTATATAATACTGTAAACCAATTATTAAACACAACATATTTTATTCGCAAATCGCCAGTGAAAACTGGTCCATGATGATTAATATCTGCAACTTGGCTTTCCTTTTTAGCTCACCTGAGCAGAAGGCTCAAGTGAGCTTTTCTTATCAAAATTTGTCCCTTGTCTGTCGTCATCGTTGTCGCAAACTTTTCACATTTTCATCTTCTTCTCAAGAACCACTTGGCCAATTTCAACCAAACTTGCCACAAAGTATCCTTGGGTAAAGGGGATTCAAATTTGTTCAAATGAAGGGTCATGCCTTCTTCCAAGGGGAGATAATTAAGAATTAGTGAAAAATTAATGGAATCTTATAAAAGTCTTCTTAAGAAACACTGGACCAGGTAAGATGAAACTTTTAAGGAAACATCCTCAGGTAGTGTACACTCAAGTTTGTTAAAATCATAACCCCCAGGGGTAGGGTGGGGCCACAATGGACAACCAAAGTTTAACATAGAAATACATAGGAAAAATCTTTAAAAATCTTCTTCTCCGGAACCACTGGGCTAAGAAAGGTGAAACTTATGTGGAAACATCTTCAGGTAAATGAGGTAATGTAGATTCATATTTGTTAAAATCTTGATCCCTGGGGTTAGGATGAGGCCCCAATGGCCACTGAAAGTTTTACATTGGAATACGTAGGAAAAATCTTGAAAAAATTCTTTTCTCAAGAACAGCAAAGCCATGATTGGTTATATATACATGGAAGCATCCTCAGGTAGTATAGATTCAAGTTTGTTGAAATCATGACTGAGGATAGGGTGGGGCCACAATGGACTATCATAGATTTACAAAGGAATACATTGCATTCAGCATTCACCATGCGCTCACGTTCACCATTCACAAAGCATTCAGCATTCGATCACTTTTCGTTCACCTTGCGTTCAGGGTTCACTTATCGTTCTGTCTTCATTGTCATTGTCATTCGGAACTCGGATGTGAAAGGACCTATTTATTAAAGGAAGAAAGAGAATGCAAGAATCAACAGGTTTTGAAATTTTATGAAAGATCTATCGTGTTTAAAAAATTATCATTTTAAGAAAAAAAAACTATTTTACTAACTTAATTATTATGTTATTTAATGATTTAATATACAAAATAAATGTTGTAAGTATATATATATATATTTTTTTATTAAATTAAATTACGGCAATGTACGGAAATTTCAAGAGCAGCAACATTTTATTATAATGTCAAAGATGACAAATAATTGATAAAGATAATAATTCAAGTGGACTGAATTACCACCTGCAGCATGATTACGAAAATATTCATTTCTAACACATTTTCAGTTACTATAGAAATAGATATAAGAGCTAGTTATGAAAATTATAGAAAACATTATGGATTAAAAATGTCTACGGTGTAACATACTTTGATAATGTGGTTAAAAAATATTTATTTAAATTGTAATACACACACACAAAAAAAAAAAAAACTAGCAAAGTCAAGTTTTGGCTTGACTGAAAAGGAATAGGCTTTTCTACTTTACATATAGTCATAGTTTATGCTTAGAGAGAAAAATTGTTTTTTTATACTATAACTATCTATGTTTTCCATTCGATGTAATTAAGAGCCCCCCCCCCCTTTTTTTTACTCAGCCACTTATGCAATATTTGTAGTATAATTATATTAAATTAACATTAAACAAGAAATCAATGAGTTTTATGACTTAAAAATGTCGGTCTCAAAAGATACACCTATCTGAGAATTTTATTTGGAATCGTAGTCCAAAATACACTGGTATTTGAAATTGGCATATAGTGTGTATCAAATTTATGCATTTGAATCATTGCAAGTGTTTAATATGTCCAATGTAGTTTCTTTTTTAAAATTTTTTTTTAAATAAATGATGGATTCTGATCTAGAAATGATCAGGAAAAAGTATAAAACTTCTTGGAAGTACTTAGACTTCGGTGTGACGAGACTTACACAGCAACACAGTGTCATATGATTTTGATTGACAGGACAAGCAGTGGACTTCGTGTGAACTTGAAGCAGAAATTTTTTTAAAAAAGACTATTACTGCCAAACAAACAGATTTGTTAATAAAGAATGGTTTAATAACTGCCTGATATACAAAAAATCCAATTTAGGAATTTTTGTGTGATACAATGCATGCATTGTGGGAAGGGGGATGGGGGGGGGGGGGGTATAAGGATAGTCTAATTAATATATGATCAATAAAAAATATTTTCACATAAGTGTGTAATATTACATGAAAATATGAGAACACATGTATATTTATGCAACACATCTACAGACCTATGCAAAGTATTTTTCTATTATTTCACATGGAATTGCCTTTGTAGGAATTACATGTATGTTTGTAATTCATTCCATAAATCTGTTAATTCCTCTTCTAAAAGCTACAACATTTGTAATGGTTTTAGAGACCAAATAAGAATAACCATATCTATTTTACAGAATAATTTTCGCTATTTTAATTACAGAGTTCGATATCATTGCAATGATTTTAACAGCGATCACTTTTCTGTGCCTATAAACAGCTTAATTTAAACATTATAAATATGTGCAGAAAATACTGTAAGAAACATTAATAGCGATTCTCTGTAACCTCTTAAACTTCTTTGCCACGCATGGTCACCGATTTTGATGAAACTTTGCCCATTATTACAACTTGACACCAAATACATATTTCAAATAAAATTTCATTGCTATGTGTCTTCGTTGCCATGGTAACAGCCAGAAAAGTTGGAAAAATTGAGATTTTCAGCTACTTTGAATCTTTATTAAGCCTTAATAAAAACTAAGAAAAACAAACAAACCATTCTCACAAAAACCTGACACCTTGTTGCCACTTATGCTCTAAAGAAACTATTTAGAATTTATCTCTAAGTAAGTGGTAACCATGGGTACATTTGGAATACATTTTAGATGCTGAAAAAAGCAGAAAAATGCTCAATATTCACTAATGATAGGTGTTAAATGATCAAACTCGATCAACAACCTAAGAAAAAACAATTAAAATATTTGACCTTAAGGTAAAGATCCATACCATGCTATAAAAATAACAAAGCTACAGATTTCTG